CACCAGGAGGAGAGGGTAGGGATTCTCCAGGTTGAACGGGAGCTTCTGGCACCTCTCAGCATCCGTTGGGTTCTCAAAATAGTAACACTCTGAGTGTCCATTGAATCCCACGGAGTCGATGTACAACACTCCTTTAATAAGGCAGTCGAGTTCATCGAGCTTACAAAGCTCAAGGTCACCCATCTGGTGGGAAGGAAGAAGAGGGATATTGAAGGAGCAGGCAGGGATGTGAAGGGTTTACGGTCAGGGCTGGAAAAATGCACTCACTGCCACCTCAGTCCAAGCTACCTCCACGCTCCCTGCAGAGCCTGGGGAAGAACAACTATCCCAACCTTCTGGTGTGCAGGTGTAAAACAGGGGAAAACAAACACCTGGATCCCCAGATGGATACAGAGAGAACCCCACAAACTGCCACAAGCCCGATTTAGGCTGAGGCACTGGCATGAAAAGCCAGGAGAAGTGAGGAGGGGTTTCTTCGTTTGACCAAAATATCCAACAAAACCCACCCAAACAAACATCAAAAAAAAAAAAAAAAAGGTGAAGGAGTTACAAAATTATTTTCCCCTCATGTCACTGCCTCAGCTGCACAAAACTGGACGTTAGGAAAAATTTCTCCACTCAAAGGGTTGTGCTGCCCAGGGCAGGGGTGGAGTCCCCATCCCTGGAGGGATTTCAAAGCCATGTGGCACTTGGGGACATGGGGTAGTGGTGGCCTTGGCAGTGCTGGGTTTAAGGGTTGGACTCAGTGGTCTTAAAGACCTTTTCCAACCTCAATGATTCCATGAAAAGCCCATTTATTTGCATTTTTCCAAGCCCTGATGAAACAAGTATTTAATCACAGACGTTCTTCACCTGTGAACAAGGATCCAACCCAGAACAAAGACGCATGATGAAGTCAAAGCCCAACTGTGAACCTCCTGACAGTTAAATTCAGCCCCCAAACCCCACTGAACCTCAACCATCTCACTCACACGGGTGTTAGAAACGAAACCAGGCGGGCAAAGGAAGAAAACAAAGCAGGTGAAAGACAGCAATGAGAAAAAAAAAAAAAAAAATCAAAATTCCAAACCCATGAGACTGAGACCAGAATCAGAGATTAAAAACAGAGAG